TCATTTACAACTAAATTTAATGAATGAGAGAGATGCACCAGGTACAGAAAAAGCTCTAGAATGTATTTTCCTTAAATTTACGATTTATGTATCCGTTTGTCATAAAAATTTGTCTTTCCACTTTTTTCCCGAGACTACAAATATTCGAGTACAAAATAACTGGTTTCGACTTATTTCTACTTAAGAAGTAGTTAAATAATTAAGAGATTAGGGAATCTGGGACGTAAACAAAACCCCGATGAAAGAGCCGGAATATTACTTAAACAAAAGCTTAACCGACCCAATCTATAGCCGAGTACAGTGGGGACTGATTTCTTCGAAATACTGTATTAGATGTAATAAAGACAGAAATTTTTCCAGTTCAACGAGAGTGACCGAAAAGTTGTAAATTTTGGAAATTTCCGTGGACAACACCTGGTCCTAAAACGAATTAGTTAGAAAACAAATGACTATTAAGTTTAACATATTTAGATTTTTACAGCTATGGTGAGAAACGTTTAAAATCTACAACAGCCCTGTCGCGTCCTTTGAGATATACTAGTGATGCGACAAAAGAGGTATTTGACATTGACCGGTATCGGCACCCTGGGGATTTGGCAGTCCGCGTGTATGCACGCTCTGCAACCGTCTTCGATTCCATCCATTAGCCACTCGTAGGGAGCTATTTGACTAAGTGCATTGTTTTAAGATTTAAAAAGTAAAGAATATTTTATATTTTTATGTACGTTTCTTTACAAAGCTATATTTAATTATAATTTTCTTTAAAGTATATTCATATAATTGAAGAATATTTTGTATGTACCGGTACATCCACCACATATTTTATTTCACCGAGTAAGTTTTTATTATTTTATTTTTAATTGTAGCCCTTATATCGTGGCTAGCGATTCGGAATGTAATTGTGATATTAAAAATGCATTTAGAGAAGTCTACGGTTTTTACTGGCTTATCGAATAAACGATACGAATGGACCCTAGACCATCACTGACGCGCGATTGACTGATTGCCCCTGGATGTCGTCTTCTTACAGAAACACAGCTTCCCTATCGTCAAATGTCACGGCACGCCCCTGGTTCATATATCCCTTCCTGGATGCATCTAATAAAATTTTTGTGGAAAAAAAACTTTACTGCATGCACCCTATTTTGTATCAGCATTTATTTTGGTTTTTTGGACATCCTGAGGCTTATGTTTTAATTTTGCCTCGAATCTAACTTTTAGTTTACGAATTCTATTAACCATTCCTATTGCTTCTGCATCGGCTGAATGCAGATTTTCTAAATTAAAAATATTTAAAAATTATCTACGCACGACATCGTCACAAGAAAATCCCTTTAGTTCGTAACTGTACTTTTGTTCCAATGGAGAATATACGAATTCGCTTAGTTCAAAATACGACTATTTCGAAATTAGAACTAAAATTTAATCCGAACTGTGATATGCCTACGTTAACTCGTTCGTTTAGATCAAAAAGTCTCCATGCTATAAGAGAACAATAGACACACAACAACTGTAATCTGGTAAATATTGCTTTGCTTTTACAGTAATACATTTTCGGGTGTCGCCTTACTTGCGGCCCCCCAGTGGCCAAGCGGTTCCGTTCCCTAACACCTAAACACTGGGAGTTCGCTCGTGGGTTTCGCGCCTAGCCAGGACGGATTGGCCACGTAAAGTTTTCCGGGTTTACTCCACGTTTGTAACGTCTGAATAGGGGCAAGTTACCTTTAAAAAGACCTCCCGGAAAGCATTTCTCCTTGGCAGATCGCCCAAGTGTTGCGCTGCAGTAACTTAACAAAACGAACAAACATGGATAATCGAAACAAATACTTTAATTTGTTTTTTAATGATAATACAACACGTTTTCTTTTCGATAACATATCGGTAATATTAAAAGTAAATACTGTATTTAAATCGTGATCAAATTTTCAAGAAACAAACGTTCGTATTGAATTTAGACTACTACTGACCAACGCTAACAGACTACCTATTGTTTTAAAGGTCCTCTGGTGGCGCAAGAAGACGGATTTTATAAAATAAAAAGCAGTCGAAACTGCATTTTTATGAATAAAAGTTTGACAAACTATTTATCGTTTTACGACGAGTAAAATTTTTTCGTCGCGTTCGCGGCTTTTAAGTAATGCATAAACCTTCGAGGCGCGAGGCCCTTCGGACCGCGAGGCCCTTCGGACCGCGAGGTATATGAGGTGGCCCACGTCGTCCATGCCCTACGCCGCTCTTGGTCATAGAAATGATGTAATTTGAATATAAATAATTTATAAATACATATGTCAAGTTATATTTTTATTACTACGTAAAATATAATTAAGAGTTTACGACCACTGTGCTGGGTGAGACGTTGTTGAAACAAAAAAATTATGCATTCCATCACGTACATAGTGTCGTAATTCGCCAAGTGCAAATCAGCAAATTCGTAAAATTTTTGAACAATCCGGATAATCGAAAATCCGTATAATGGAGGTCCGAATAATGGAAGTTCTACTGTATATTATAAAAATATCAGATTGTCATTAACAACGGCAAAAGAGTGGAAACATCATCAGCACTTGTTCGCCTCACGTAAGTGCCGAACGGAAAGTCCGTTGTTCGCAGCCAGTCCATTGCTTGAGTCACGTAACGGCCAAACAAAATCCGTTGTTCGCAGCGTCCGTTATTCGAGGCACCACTGTACTCGGAAATGTGTGAATGAGGAAGGAATACTATATAAAGCTAAAGTTGAGACTCAAAGAATTATAGACCCAAATTCGGGGAAAGGAGAGAAAGGCCAAAAGATAAAGTAGTGAGAAAGGTTAAATAGACTTTCTGTTATGCAAATATGGACCCTTAATTTTTCAAGCTTCCTCACTTCTTTATCGTTTGTTTTTTCTCTCCTTTCCCCGAATTTGGGTCTATAATACTTTGAGTCCCAACTCCAATTTTATTTAATAATACTAGCATCCCCGTCGCGGCCTGCCCGCTCTTATATACATATAGAAAAAATATATAAATGGTTTGCTGTATATTAGTTAATATGACGATTTTAGTCTCTGTAATCCAAAATTATTCTTGGTACACCAATCTCACAGCAATCGTATTGGCAAATTAAGTTTATTTTGTAAAGACTACATCAAATGCATTTCGGGCTGGTCTAATATTTTCCAATCCCTCTTCAGTGCTAAAACAATAACAAAGAACGTAAAATGTTTAACTAAAACACGACATAGATGTATATCTACACCAAAATTATAAATTTTGGAGAAAAACTCTACAATAACCGCTGGTGGTAATTACAATGATATTTCCATGGGTAGGGGTGGTAAACTTTGTACACATTTGTAAGAATCCTAAAATTACAATTATCTTTTTTTGTATAAAACAATATAAGGCTAATACAAATAATATATTAAACAATACTTATACTTACAAGTTTAAAAAAATTTTTTCCACATACGTGTATAATAAACATACCAAAACCAACTAATTATTAAAAATTCATTGACAAACAATTGTAAAAATAATTCCAAAGCACTACAAATTTTTAACTTCATACCATCAACACTTTACAAAGTCACACAGTAGACCACCAACACTTTACAACGGTAATCAAGTGATGACGTCTTAATACATAACCATTTATTTTTTATTTTATTCTAGCGCCATCTATTAGATTGTACCAGCTATAATTTATTTCCATCCCTTTCGACTGATTTATTAAATTATTATTATTTTGTTTTCTAATTTCTATATGTTCTTTGAATTTTCTTTTATAAATATCTTTTTCAATATGTAAAATTTTTACATTGTTTCTATTAATATTACAATTATTACTATTGATGTGGTTAAACCACGGAGAATTATTATACTTAAGCCGAATGGCCGCTTCGTGTTCTTTAACTCTAGTTTCTAGTACACGCCCGGTTTCTCCTATATATACACACGGATTATGACAGTCACATTCAATTCTATAAACCACACCAGCTTTTTTTAAAGGGTCTAAATTATTTTTACTATTATTATTAATATGTTTACAAATGTTTTGTGAAATACTATTGGTCAAAGATGGGGCCAAACAAATATTATGATTCTTAATACTTTTCCTGCACTTTTCAAAGATATTTTTAATGTATAGAAACTTCTTATATATTTTATCAGTTTTCAACTTAGTATTATATCTATTCTTTAAATAATATGTTTTCCATTTTTTAAGTATAAAGTTTGGGTAATCGTTCAAAAGGAATTTGGTATCTAATTCTTTTAGTTTAATATTTATGTTATAATTATCAGATATTCTAGTACATATGTTTTTTAATTCGACAATATATGCATTCTTTTTAATGTAATCAGGAATACAAGAATGGTAATTAATAGTTTTGCTTACATTACAAGATTTTTTATAAGTTATAAAATCAAATTTTCTAGGATTATTCACTATGGTAATATCTAAATAATTAATTTTCTTATTAACTTCTTCTTCAATATCAAACTGTATAACCTTGTCTATGTTGTTTATTAAATTATATATAGTTTCTTTATTAATCAGATTTCTATTATACACTATTAAATAGTCATCTACATACCTCATTATTGTCTTTATACCCCTAATTTTAATAATTTTTTTATCGATGTCAATCATTACTAATTCAGCTAATTTTGGCCCCATCTTTGACCCCATACTGATACCATTTTTTTGTCTATAAAACATACCAT